ATTATAAGGATTTAAATTTTTTCTTACAATTTTTTCCCTTTCCAAAGCTCTTTAACAGCTAGCAGAATTTGGATATTTTGTGCATGAGACTTTCATTACATTTTAAGTTATTAAATCAAAAAAATTCCTTTTAATTAAATATTCTCTATTCAATTTAAAAATAAACTCATCTTCGTTGACCAAAACTCCATTACCAATCATTATGCCTTTTAAGTTAATTTTATCATCAGGAAATTATTTGTTTTTATTAACTACAACTTCTGCTACACATGGTATATACATACCTTTTCATCAGATTAATAAATACCAGAATATGAAACTCCACTGAACCAGATCTCTCTAGCCTTATAGTTTTGAAATGCATTTAACCAAGTTTTAATTGTTTCATAGGAATCAAGCCCTGTATTTGTATCACTCCATTAATAATTATCATCGTGAAGTGTAGAATATCCAACTCCTGCAGGGATATCCAAATATAAAACATTCCCTAATTTATGTAGTGAATATTGATTCTCTGTTAACTCAATTTTATCACTGCCCCATAATTTCACATAGGGTCCTACTCCTGAAATAAGCCCAGCCAAGCTACTACATCCTGGTCCTCCTCCAAATTATATTATCAAAGGTTTATTCTCTGGATCAGTGATACTCTCCATAAATATATAATGGATGACTCTAAAATCATATTCATATTTTTTATCTACTATTTTCCATTATAAATTTCCACAAACCCATTATAGGTTTTAAAGTTATAGGCTGGATAATATGGCCAATTGAAAATCTCGTCATATTATGGATCAACGCAGGAATTCGTAATCACTAGGACCAGAATTATTAAATATCTCATTTAATCAAATTTGATATTAATGAGATTAAAATTGTATAATAGGTATTATTTTTAATTAATTTAATATTTATTTTGAATTATATTTATCTCTATTTAATAGTATTGTCTTAATTAAAGAGTTTGATAGAACTTTTACAGCATTTTAGTTCATTAACTTCAAGTTAATTGATTATCAAATTATAATATAATCATAAATATCATTTTTAAACCAATTAAATATATTAATCAATACAATATTAGGTCTTCTAAGAATTTCTTGTTATTCTATCAATTAATTAAATCAGGCGATTGAGAGCTGTTATAATTTGTAAGGGAGAAATATATTAATGATTTTATATTAATGTATGTATGATTTAATTAATTTTGTTAAAAATTACATTTCTATCCGAATAATGTCTTAATATGACTTAATTTTAGAAAGAATTATCACTCATTCTGGATGTTTTTATGAAATGGAAGAAAAAATGCGGAAGACTTTATTATTTGCACTTTCACTCTCTAATTAATTTCATCACAAATTTTTAGAAGATGAGATAAATAATAAAACCACAATATAAAAAACCAAATTGCTTCGACATTACTTACGTTGTTTAGATTTGAATAAAAAATACTATATCTTTGATTTTGTCTAAGGGCATCCGATATCAAAAGTAATTAAAATATATGGAGCAAAACAAGAATCCATGCCGATAGAGAAAATTCATAATTATTTGAAGTAATTGCTTGAAGCTCTACATCAATTACATAAATTAAACATTCTAGGAAGAGTTTTCTCAACAGAAAATATTATTGAGCTTCAAGATAATAGTATCACATTGATGGATTTTGGATTTGGGCCAGAATTAAAACAAGCTCAATTTAATCTACTAGCTCCTCCAGAAATTGTATAGAACTTTGAAGATAACAGTAACATATATGTATTTATCTAGTTGGCTAGGGATTACAATATGGCATTGAAATAGATTCATGGTTATTAGGAGCATTCTTGTACCATCTTGTTACTTTAAAACCAATAAATTTGGTTCAAGAAAATAATCAACTAAAAGCATATACTTATTCATAATTAAGGCAATATAATTCTTTTATTTAATATCAAATGAAAAAATCTAAAAATATAAAAGTCGAATCGAGTTATCCGATAGAATTAAATCAATTTATAGAGTCATTATTAAGATATGATTCAAAAGAAAGGTTGTCATTCTTAAACATCTATTAATCTTAATATATCTAAAAAGTATTGAGATTGAGAAATTGTGATGAGTTGATATAATTTTATTCGAATCTAAATTTAACTTTAATTTAAGAAAAAATTTTGCTTAGAGAAGGAGTTGATTCAAATAAATTTCTTTAAACAAGTGATTTACAACAAATTTCAAGTCCAAAATCCTTTTTAGAATAATGTTAACTAAATCCAGATTTCGATTCAAATTTAAAGTATTTTGAACTTTAATGTAGCATTCCTCGCAATCTTTAAATTCAGAGTGTTGTTCCACAAGTCTCACAATATGATGATCGAAAAAACAGCTATTTATTAGAGCTTCCATTAAGAATGTAAAATGGGGTATATTATTGTATTAATTTTAGCTTTCTAAATTTGAAAAGATATTCAAAATAATTAATTTGGAATAATTTAGATTTGTGATTTTGATAAATACCGCGGAGGAAGTAGTTTTGTTATTATCTGATAAATAATTTGGTTAATTAAATGCTATAGAATATTTTTTTAAGAAGATGGCATACCTTATAATGATTGAAATCTTAGAAAAATTAAATTCAGAAAACAGTTAGTGGACTTCTACATAGGAAGAATGGTAAGATTTTTAAAAACTTGATGCAAAATTAACGTTAATATAGAAAATAACTTCGAATATTGAAGAGATATTAATAAAACTGAAAAATCTTCATTAAATATGTTATACAGCTTTAACGTAAAATGAACTAATCGACGAAAACATTAGGCAATCTGTGGAACAAGATTAACACATGTTATTAAACAATAAATCTTTAGATAGCAATATTTTTGGTTGTACTTCATCAGAATTTTTAAAGAAAGGTTTTAGAAATATGACTTAATATTTATACAATTATTTAGTTTCAAATAAATTTGATGAAATGAGAACTAAATGGTATGGTCTGATCTTAAAGACTCTCCTATGTCATTTAATCAATCGCATATTTGACTATAGTTAAATTAACACTCACTGGGAATTGAGCCGTTGGGTCGGGCCCTCCGACGGACTCAGTCCTAATCTAGCACC